CACTGCTTGAGCCCCTGTTCCGGCTCGATCTTCGGTTTGTGAAGGGGTCGACGCCGCAGTGACTTTTGTCACTCTTGCACCGCCCGCTTCTGCTGCCTGTCCTTCCGGCGCAATCTGCGCGGAAGGTGTTCTTGCTGAAGGTGCGTCCGCCGAAGGCGTCCGCACACTGGTCGTTGGCTCCATCCGTCTCGCAGTCGGCGAATCCGGCTGACTCTCTGTTGTCCGACTCGCAGTCGGCCGACCAGCAGTTGTCCGACTGGGAGTCGGATACACCCTGCGCGTCTTGACTCCACTTGGCCTGTTTGCTGGTGGCGTTCTTTCAGAAGTGCCTTCCGCCGAAGACGACCCTCTAAGGATTGTTGGCTCGTCAGCCAAACTCTCTTCCGCTTCCGGCCTGCTGTCCGGTTCAACGCGCCGTTCAGTTGGCCTTCCTTCCGCTTGTCGACCTTCAGTCATCCGACTCGCAGTCGGCCGGCTGTCAGTCCTTCCATCTCCTCCCGAAGGCCGTGGTGCCTTCTGTGCAGAGGTTTCTGCCGTCTTCCCTAGGACCTGAGCAATTATCTCTTCCTGCGTGAGATTCCGCCGGGTCGGAGTTCGCCTGGTCTCCTCAGTAACAGTTGGCATTCTGCGTGCCCTCTGTTTTGGTCGACTATGAGGCTCGGGGGTGGGCCGACCACGAGTCGGCGCAGCTGGTACTTCCGGCTGCTTGTCCTCAGGTCTCTCATCCCACTTCCGCTTGCGCGGAATGCGCTCACTTCGACGTTCTTCTGCTGCTCTGGCTGGAGCCGGAGCCGGAGGCGTGCTGGTAGGTTCCTCGTCCGGATCCGTGTCTACTTCGGCCTCCCTCGAATATCTACCTGGATAAGACCGACTCAGCTGCGGAAACCGAGTTTTCTCAGCATTCGTCAAACATCCCATCGCCCGGTAAAACACGATTAAGTAAGGCGATAGATGATTGAGCGTTCCTCCCCTCTCTTCTTGCGCATGTTGGCGCGTCACCTTCCACAGGAGTCGTGCCCAATGCACCGGAGCTCCTGACAACACTAGCTCCACGAACTCTACCTGCCAACCATGCATGTAAGCGGTCTTGGTCGGCTGCAATATCTGCAGCAATGCTGTCGCGACATTTCTCCGCAATCGATCCTTGTAATCCCGAGTCCGGAAACCGTTCTTGGGATGTCTAGCCACCTTGAAGAGCTCATTGTAAGAGACTTCTTCCTCCTGGGACACTTTCACGCTGTCGGCCTCGAAGAGGAGATCCCCTTCCTCGCCGGCACACCTGCCCAACACCTGCGCCCAATTGCAAATTTCCCATCTCTCTGGGTGTGGGCGAAATCCGCGAGAAGGCTTGTGTCTCTCTTGCAGATACTCGCGCACCATCTCCGGACACGTCCAATTCCACCCCCAGAGGAGAAAATCGAGCTTCAGCCTCGTCAGCACATCTTGAAATGCGCGTAGACCGATCTGCGGCACCCTGAGTGGAGACACTCGCAGTTGGGGAACCTTCGACATTGCGTTGCCTGCACACACAAACGTTCTCCCTTTCGCTCACTCTCTCACAATCGCCACTGCGCGTCGGCCACTCAAGCACTGACTGCTCACTCTCTCTGCGCTCGTTCAAGATCGCTACTCCCAATTCTTTCAAGGTCCGCCAAGATCCTTGTGCAACTCGTCTCCGCACTCTCTACTCTCACTGCAGGTCGCTCCGCCCTTCCGCGTAATCTTGGAACTGGAAATCGCAAAGTCAAGAATGAGAGAATGAGACTGGAGCGCAGTCTTTTCTTCTCCGATTTCAAGAACGTCCAACGTTCTTACTGGTTGCAACGTATGCAGCCGGCTATACGGCTTAACGGTTCGCCCTTTGCATGCGCGAATTCACGTCTCCGCATTGCGCGCATTCGCATGCTTAAACGTTGAATTCTCCCGCCGCCGCCACCTTCCGGACTCGAGTCCGCTGCAGGGTATACGTCGGCCCTGTTGTCTTTTCCTAACCCGCCCTTCTCCGGAGGCGTGTCGCCGCTGGCGCGTTCATTATCCGTCGGCGCCTTGCTGGAGGCGCACATCCAGCCGGAGCGAATTACGCCGGCGCGCAGTCGTACCGCCTATTTTGTCCTTTATGCCTCGTCCGTTGCTGCCAGCGCATATCCGTCAGCGCAACTCATGCCAGCGCATCCGGCCGTCAGCGCCACGTCGGAGGCGTACATCCGACCGGCGCTTTCCTTCCATGAACAGCCGCCAAGGGCGCTTCCGACTCTGAGTTGGTTTCCTCCTGTGAGCGCGTGATTCCGCCGAAGGCGCATCGCCGAGGGCGTACGGGAATCCTTTCCGGCTGTGAACCCTAGCGCGAACGGCGCATGTCCGGCTACGAGTTTTCCGACGCTCATAACTTCTCCATTCCTGATCCATCTCCGGCGCTCTTGGACTCGTTAGAACGAGCGTCCCGAGCTCTTCCTAATGCAACTTCAACCAACTGGATCTACCGTGTATCCCGATTGTTATGAAGGTTTTCCCTTTCCGCGCTAGCGGCGCTTCGCCGAAGGCGCACTCATGGTCGGATGCCTTTAGAGGTCCGGGCCCTTCTCCTGACGTCTTTAGCAAAACCTCCTCCTGAGGTGTCTGCGCCGGAAGCGTAGCTTCCTTATACGCTAGAGGCGCGTGAGTAGAGACACCTCAAAAAGAAGCTTTTGCCGAAGGCGCCGAAGACGTTGGCGTTGGTACATCCGACTACGTGATTCTTTGTGCCCTCGTGACGATCTCATCAATCCACTCTATTTAGCGTACCCTTCTCTAGCTACAAACACTGCTTTGGTACTAGTTTTCTAAAATTGTTTAAATTCTGCAAAAAAACAAAAAGTGGGTTACCACATGCCCCCCTCCTCAATTGTGAGCGCCCACGCGAACATTTATACGTGGTATTTCTTCAGACGCCATCCGTTCACGCGGGTGCCTAACCATTCTCCCGTCAGTTCTGCGAGTTGGATGGATCCATTTGGAAAAACTTCTATCACCTTGTAAGGTCCCATCCACCTCAAGTGGAGCTTGCCTGGAAATCTAGCATGTCTGCTATCGTATAGCAGAGCCAAGTCGCACGGAATCTTGCAGGGCGTTTTTAAAATGTGCACAGCTGTGCATAGTCGGTCTGTCCTCATATTTGAGCCTAAATATGACAGATGCCAATCTTAACTTTAGAGAACAAAATGCAAATGCTGCACAAAATATCTCCCACACTCCTTTATCTGTGGCCCAAAGCATCTGATAAGTGGGTAAAAAGAAAAGTATTAAGATGCCTTGTGTGGGTATTGGACTTTCTGAGAGACATTCAATCACCAGACCTCAATTACAAGTCTAAATCACAATTTGCACTGAATGAATCAGAGTACTTTGCTGTTCATACCTGCTGCTGACTTAGAACCCAACAAATGCTATTCATATAATGGACACGGGAACCAAATCTCTCAGGTTTGAAATCATGCATCCCGTCACTGATGTTGGGCTGGACGCCTGACATAACTTCCGATGAAAAACTGCAGGAATCTGCTGTGTGAAGTATTCTCTAATAGAACTGGATGAAACGTTTTGTTGTGGTGCTACTATGCTGCACTGATTCTGGAACGGTTGTGTAGCTGGAAGTGGAACCTTAAACTATCAGATTTTTGTAGCAATCCTGGTCACATCTCCTACCGTGTCAACCGGTCAGCAGAGCGATCTCCCTCCATACATATTCGGAATATAGCAGTAGCGAATCTAATAAGCCGATAGCTTCGAAGCCAACACAATCTCGATACTGCTAATAACAAGAACCTCCTAACTAATCTGATTTCTGGAAGTTTACATCACCTTTCCTCTAGTTATTGATCAACCCGATATAGAAAAACTCGAAGTAGTGTAAGCTAATGTTCGATGATATTCAAGTTTGTGAGAGACAAGTTTTTAAACACACGTACTATGTGAAGTGATTACATGTTCTTACCAATAAAATTATTGATGAGTTATTCTTCTTATCAGAATCTTGAGCACCAGTCCTCTCATGACTAATTCCACCATCTTGAAAACAGGTATTTTATATTACTGAGATGTAAGTTCTGATGCTCTTGATACATTAGAATCCATATATTGAGCTAATTATAACATCAAATTAGCATTATATTCATCACCGTTTCGCATTACATTGCTTCGTATTTTCGACACGAAATAGCTGCACGATTTCAAACTTGGAAACCATTATAGATAAACCTACAAATATAAACACTTCGTCGTATCTAAGCGTGGAGTCAGCTACTTGTATTGTTCATACATATAGAATAGTGCTTGTGCCGAGAAGTGATTGTATCTGAATAAAACAACGTTGGTCATGGCTTGCTTTTTTTCCATTGACATGAAGCCATGTGGAGTGGCACACGATACTATCTACTGCCCTAAGAAATAATTATTATCTCTATTCCAGACCCTGTACCGAGAATCGTGACTTTTTCCGTTCCTGTCATGTCCATAGCTATACTAGCGTCATGCGATAGACAAGAGATAGACTTTCCAGTCCACGTCAGCCTTCAATCCATAGTGCTTGACTGATTGTTTCAGTACTTGTCTTTCACGCTGTAAGCATGAGGTACGGTAATGTGGGTCATCCCTACACCGTTCCAATGTGTCAAACGTGTACTCACCAATATGATCAGATGCCGTTACACGTGAAGGATAGTGGCAATTTTTGATTCTCTGAACTGCAGAAACTTGAATGATTATAAATTACGGATTCCAATTCCAAGCTACATCGGAGATTTGATAATTTTGCAACATCTCTGAGAGGGGAAAATTTATTTTTTAATTGAAGTCCAGAAGTTTCAAACTTGCTGCAAACCATGTTCTTCACTAACAGAGGAAGATTATATGAGTTACAGAGAAAGTTACTGTCTATGACTCTTCCTCATTTTCCATATTTCATCATTGCACACCATCAAAGTAAAGGAATTAATAACCATTGTCACAACTAAATTCTTGGTGAGCTTACAACACAAACTTATTTAATATTTTTTAATGATACATATTATTAACATTTTCTACAATGGTGCTATATATCATGAACTTAACCCTTCTCTGATCACTCAAAGATGTGCATGAAGTATTCCGGAGAGCAAATACTTGCTAGACTGAGGTTGTTACAGATACCTGATCCGCTGACAAGGTTAGGATCATTGGAGGGAGAAGATACACACACATCAAGTGCTGGCTTCAAAAGAAAGTCTCAGACTCAAGTATCAACAGGAATTCTTGACTGGCCAATACCATTCAATCCTGCCTTGTGGTAGACATCCGAAGGCAGTCGCCTCGTTAAGAGTAGATTCAAAGGATTCCGCTTCCCTACCGTGAGACCGAACGTCTCTTCAACATCTACGTCCAGGGGAGTCAGGCCTTCGGGCAGTGAGATTGAACAAGCATGAACCAGCTGGGCGAGGGTGTAGGCCACAGAGACGAGCGCCAGATTCATGCCTGGACACAGCCTTCGCCCAGAACTGAAGGGCAGAATCTCATAATGCTGCCCTCTCACATCTATACGGCTGTTTAAGAATCTTGAAGGATCAAACTTCAAAGGATTTTCCCAAACCTTGGGATCTGTACTAATGGCATGAATGTTCACAATAACCCATGTGTTGGCGGGGATATCGTATCCTGCTACTTTTGTTGCTTCGGTCGACGAGTGAGGAACTCCCAGCATAGCGGGTGGGTGCAGCCGTAGTGTTTCCTTCACCACTGCCTGCAGGTACTCGAGATTCCGGAGGTCTGCTTCTTCAACCATCCTTTCTTTACCGATCACATCGTCGAGCTCACTCTGAAGTCTTTCCATAATGTTGGGATGCCGCAGAAGCTCAGTCATACCCCACACAACCGTCCCAGAAGTAGTGTCACCTCCAGCCGGAACGATGTCCTGATTGAAGAATTACCGTTATCAGTGATCTTGTGCATTCAAGATGCAAAATGATACAACGGACGACAATATTGATATTCGCAGCTACGTTGAAATCAGCATTTATGCCACTTTCTTCTTTACAATATTTTCTGCACAGAATTTGCCATATAATGTTATTATTTCTTGTCACTAAACCGAAGAGAGACTTTACCAGACTCATGATGAACCTGACCATGTGAATGAATTTGGATCAGAATGTGGGCTTAATACGACCTTCAAACCTTGAGACATAACGTGAAATTCAACGACTCAGAACGAATGACGATCTTCATGCATTGAAATATTTCAGCGGTATAGATCAGCATCTATCACAAACCATAATAAGAAATTTGACTTGATCACGTGTAAAACCGCTCGTAGTCAGCAGCACGTCCAAGAAGTCCTCTTCCTCATACGACATGGATTTGGTCTTTTCCTTCAGGCGGTTGTCAATGATGGAATCCATAAGTTTCGAAGATTTTTCGCCTGCCATTTTCAGCCTTTTAACTTGTCCATCCAGATCTAGCGGCTTCAGCAAAGGGAAGATATCTCCTATGGAGAACCATTCCGAATTTGACATCTCCATTAATATTTCAGTAAAGTCCTGAATGTGAGCACCTGCACCCCTTCGAAACACCATTGCGGTCGTCGTGGTTATAAACAGTTCGTGCATTACATCGGAAAAATTTATGTAACGATTCGCATGACCCTCCTCGAATGCTTTTGCCATCGTTTTGAAGAGCATATCTCGCCTCAAATCCTGCACAAGCGAAAATGACGACAAACTGCATCCGCTTTACATAGAGTATCATGATTATCAAGGAGAAACTGTTCTGCGAATTCAAACTCGAAGCCAAATCTTGCAATGTGATTATGTGCAGAACAAACAAGGCAAGATGAGAAAAACTACCGATAAAATGCAGGAAATTAAAGGCCTGATATTTCGTTATGGTTGAGAAGGACAGAAATCAGTTGGACCTCATATAGTAATCGCTTCAGTGATTTAAAGTAACTGAAATCAGATGCCTGTACTTTTTAGACTCGGAGTCAATTTTATGTTGAATGCAGATTGTGCACGTGAACAGACTCACATACAACAGTCTAGACTCTCACCTTAAATGAATCGATCCGTTGTTGCGAAAGTAGTTGTGAGGAAAACACTTTCCGGACTCGACGAAGGTGGTCATTCAAAGGACAAAACAATAGATCCTGACCTTGCCCAAAAAGATATTCTATAGTTAGACCCGAGGGGCGGGAAGCAAATATGTGATCTTGAGTTTTCAGAATCTCCCTGGCCATATCCGGGGAAGATACAACCACAACACTTAAAGCTCCGACGTCAAGCCACATTATGGATCCATATTTTTCAGCCATCTTGGCCAGGGTGTGGTGAGGCAACCCCTGTGTAAGGTGATAGAGATGGCCGATCAATGGCAAAGATGGAGGTCCAGGAGGTCGTCTCCCGGACTTGTGTCTAACTCTCGTGAAAACCTTCAGCAGGACGTACACGAAGACTACTGCTGCAACAGTATGCACAGACCAGCTCCTCAAAATCGCAACAGGTCCCTCCATATTTGTCTCCCCCATCTCTTGCGCAACTCAAAATCACAATAGGTTGAAAGCCGCCCAGCGTGAATCAATGTCTTCGTTGATGAGCAGATCCTGGGATCCTAAAGATGTGTGAACATCGATCTAAATACTGGAATGAAGTGCCACCGCAATGTTAATAAAATTGGAACGATACAGAGAAGATTAGCATGGCCCCTGCGCAAGGATGACACGCACAAATCGAAAATAGATATTAAAACTTCTCAATTGGTCGGAACGAGGCCGTAACAAACTGTCAGAAAACACACCGATAAAAAAAGGGCAGATAATGTTTGATTCGAAGAGGGGTCGGTTGCAGTCTTGAGTTCCTTATATTCCGCATTTCGTCTTCATAAAGTTCCATAATTTTAAACATATAAGAATATTTTTTAACACTGAGAATTGTTTTTATCATATTTCTTCAAATACAAAACCAAGGGGCTATTTCAAGATCAGTGTTCTTTGCCATTTAATCGTTTGCATCAAGTCTTGACTGTGAGTCCAATCAAGATTTGAAGTTTTGCATACAGTAACCACAGAACATTTCTTAACATTGATACTTGAAGACTTGAAGTTTTGCATGCAATTTGCAAACTCCTGATAACATTCTATAATCTTAGCACAGGAACCACACAAGAGGTAAACAAGTCAAGTTCCAGCATTTGTGCTTCCTTGCTCACATTGGAAATTTATGGTGTTTTCAATGCAGTAGGTTCAAGTAGTTTTTTGCCATTTTATCTTTTGCATTATTAGACTTGAAGTTTTGCATACAGTTTGCAAACTCCTTTGATAACATTCTTCAGTTTTAGCGCAGTAACCACGCGAGTTAAACAAGTCAATTAAGTTCAAATAGTTCTCAATTATGAAGATCACAAAACTCCATTGATAATATAACTTAACAACACAAGTAGTTTTTCTTCACCATCAACCGTGAACAACCACTTGGCTAACTGGCTAACAAAACAATATGATTACATTGAGCCTTGGATTTTCCAGGCATGAAGGAAAGTTTTCTCAACTTATCAGGATCTTTTGAGCAATTAGCCCCTCCATTTCCCGACACTTTCACACTGAAAATCTACTTTTCAACGCTGAAATGGTAAAAGTATCTTTATAAATCGACAATAACACTATTATATCTTGAAGTAGTAAACTACATTGTACTGAAATTATGACATCATTGAAGAAAATAAAGATTTTTTTTCGAAATTCCGTATATACCATACTTGGATTTGTAGAAACTCCGTATTCTCTTTTTTAAATACAGATTATACTGAAGGCTCCTTATATAGAGAGGCCGGTCCCTATAATGAAGCTCTCGTAGAGAGCTTCATTAAATGGACAGGTTTGACCGTGGCCTCGAGAGGTGACTACTGTGGCTCGTGCGTGCGTGGACTTGGACCGTGCACAGCGCGCACATGCTGTCTGTGAGCTAGTTTCAGATGCTCGCAGGGCCATGACTTGCGTTCGCATTGTGAAGTTGGCAAGGACTTTGCGTGGGGATGTGATGATGATCACGTTTATCTCCATCGAAAAGGAACACTTGTGTGGAAACTGGAAGAGGTCAGTACGGAAGCGCGAATTTAGGACTGGAGGACTTGCAAAAGAGTGGTGATATGAAGATTAGACCCAGCGGCGGCAACGTCAAGCATTTCGGCCTCAACAACGATCGAGGTGCTTGATGAATCGATACGTCCGTCATCCTTTCTCATTGCATCAGGTACTACAGGCTTCCCAATCAAATGTAGATTACATTTGGCACGGCGCGGGGTTTGATTTTTAGTGTTGAATCCGATGTTTCTGAGGCCACAAAAATAAGGTTAAATTCGTTTTAATTTGAATGTAATGAGGTGGGTAATTTGACGAGTGGAAGTCTCTGTTAGAGATTTCCACTTGTGATTTTTATTTTCGGTTATGAAGTCATTTTAGAAACATACACGTGTCAATAATCAAACCCACCAAATATCAAGTTTTATTGTATTATCATCAACCCAATTGATTGTGCCAAAATTAATTCGTTTTATCCACCCCTGAATATATAGTATCGACGCCTCGGGACGTAAGTGCCTTCTACTCTATTGCTATATATTGATTCCAGCAATAGAGTAGAAGGCACTGCCGACGGCAGTATAGACAACAATTTGTTTTTATGTGAACATTTATGACAACAAAACGCGACATGAGATATTTTATAAATTCAAATTATCTCATCTCATGTCATTTGATGCTTCAAACCTAACCCAACCATTATCAGAATTCAACTATTTGATTATCACCACAAAGATGTGATACTCCTCAATCTAAATTATGTGTTTCGTTGAGGTTGAATCATTCGATCCATCATCACTAAGATCTTATAATCCTTGAACAAAATCATATTTTAAATCTTAAAAAATCAGATAAATGCACTCGTCATTTTTTTCTCTATAACCGTATAAAAATAAACTACTTTTTTATTATTGAAAGTTATTAACTTTTATGAATGCATGCCTTGATACAAAATTTATGAAATTTACTTGACACACATAATTAATTTTTCCAGGAAAAATTTCATATACATTATAAATTTTAATTTCATTCTAAATATTATTCTTAAATGTTTCTAAATCTATTAAATTTTTGCATTTTTATCTTAATATTTTTGACTAACAAAGCTTCATTCAAATACATATGATTCATGTCTCCGAAGTTGGTCCGAACCATGTTCGAGAAGATCTGCGCCCGGTGAATCGACTTCCCTCGTACTGCGTGCTTTATAAACCCGACTTGCCACGCCGTTACATATGTCGTCCGCTGCGGCCGCAAGATGTGCATCAATGTTGTCGACATCGCGCATCTCTTCGGATTAGAGTACTTGTCAGTTCTCCAGCTGTTAGTGCTCGATCAAGGCTTCGTAAACAACTTCGCAAACGTCATCTCTTCGGCCCGCGTCACTCTAACGCTCTCCTTCTCAAAGATAAAATTCCTTTCCTTGCCCACGCATGACCCAATGCGTGGCGTCCAATGCTCGATCGTCCACAATAACGAATTAACGCAATGGTCAGTACCCACATTGTTGTTTTTGTCCATCCACTCTTCACAGATTGTCGCCAAAACGCAATTTCAATTCCAGAGTAAGAAATCCAGTCGTGCTACTATCAACTCCTTCCGATACTTCCGTAATTCCACATGTGGCACCTTCAGTGAGATCAATTTTAGTTCCAATGCTTTCATAGCGCGCGCCATGCTCCTGGAGGATAGTCTTCGATCTTTCCAATTCCAATTCTCACTCACGCACAATGTCAGCGCAAAGTTACCTTTTCGCGTTCTTACCCTTGACGCCCTATCGGTCCTTGCACTTGCGCAATTTGACATTTGCAATGCTTGTAATTCTTGTCCGGTCTCTGGCAAATTTGAAGTGTGACAAGTCGTCTTCGCCAAACAACCGTCTACTACATCGCCGAAGATATTTGCGCCGAAGTCCGAAGATCGACAAAGACAATCCACAGGAAGCTGATCATATGCATGTTCAACCAAGCAAGATCGACTTCAACTTCCTGATCAGGCGACTCCTTCGCCAATGTCACAGACAATTTAGTACAGCCCGTTCTAATGCTTTGAATGGAGACCCGCCACATGTTAAAACTAACTCCAATAATTGAGCCCCTTCACTGGCAGACGTACCTTGTTACAACGTTGATGCATATCAGTCCACGAGTTTGAGGATCAAAACCACTACGGGCAAAAATATGGTAGCGCAACCTTTATAATTTATTTCGATTAAGACCATTCAAATGTAACAAGACTTTTAAGCAATTGTAGAACCTTCTATATTTGATGTATATATGAACTATTAAAATTTTCTTGCTCTTGTTGAAGCTCACTTGCTAAATTGACTCTATTGTGAAATATACAAATATATATATATATATATCTCTTTCTCTGTGTACTGTGGTATTGGGTTCTGGTCAAAAATGGGACTGAAGACTAAGGACCAAGTTGTATCGAAGAATGGCATACATACTTAAGGTTAAAAGGTGAGGGACAAAGCTCTTATTCATTGTAAACTTGTGCTTGAACCTGGATCAGAATCCTCAAAGGATAAACCTACAAATGAGGTTGACCCCGAAGAATAAGATGGTCTTGATCAACCCCTTTCTAAGATGTCACCAAGTAATCATCGGATTGCATAAATGTAGGTCATGCAAAAGAGATAAATGAGAATGAAACCTTTCAGTTGAAATTTGAAGAGAAATATCGGCTAATCATGGATATTGAGTTCAAAATGGCTTCAGGATCATCAAAGAGTGGGCATTAAAACTTACTCGTGAATTTCACTCGAACGTGGAGAGTCGGCAAGGTGGACAGCTCATAATAACTAATGACCTCTACTTCGGATATCACAGGAGGGAAAACAGGCTTGCTGGAGCCTCTAGCTTCATTTAAAAAGCTTATGGGCTTTGGAGCGTGAGGGTGATAGAACTGAACCGTAGGATGGAGTCGAACAGAGCTGGAAAGATAGACACTTAGAATGATAGTTAGATGAAGATGGGTAGTAACAAAAACAGCGAGCAGGCGCTACAAAGGATCTCTCAGCGAACCGTACTAATTATAAAGTACCCATATCTGGAACAAACATGAAACGTGAAGATAGACCTGGAAGGTTTGTTAACTTCTTTCTGCATTAGCACCTTATTTACACATCTAAAGGAAGAGGGATGTGGAGGGTTAACCCCCAACAGCCCTTGCAGCACTATGTGTAGAGGGAAAGACTATCATTACAATAGTATCAGTAAGAGTACAGAGAACTGCCTCTGTTTAATTACAAAAATGATTTACGCTCTTCATGTCACTATTTTCTTCTTTCATCAACGTCGATTTGTATGCTTCGCCACTTTTGACTGCACTCTATTGATCTCTGGCGTATTCCTTCATCAGAATGATGCAGCAATAATTGTGACATTGTTGTTTCTGAATAATCGGAACGGCTTGCAGAGCATCTCATTGGGCCTTGCACAGCCGTCTTCATGACAGACTTTCTGTGCATCCTGCGTCATGTCCCACCTCCGGGCTCTTTTAGCTCTATGGTTCTCCGCCTTATCTACACGTCACTTCCCTAGATCCTACATAAAACATACATGCAAGCCTCGAAGATACGACATATCCACGAATATTGCTGATTAAATCATGGCACCGTTGATTAATAGATGTGAGCATCTAATGGGTGGGTGAGTTCAAGGTGAATCCCTCTGATGATTACGGACAACTGGCACAGATAATAAGGAGGACATGTCACGATTACCTAAGGTTCTCGTGGGACTCCTGCTGAAGTCTTGAGCGACAACAGTCAACTACAAGCACTTTCTAGCGTGGTACACAAGTCTTGGCTACTGAAGATGATACTAGAGCTTGGATTTGGATATGAAAAAATATCGTTCTCTTTTGAAGTGCTATCCATGCAAGTACAGAATCTGACTAAAGCATGACCTTTGCACACTTGAGGATTATCGTCATCATCGTCCTGACCCTGGATTGCAGACGTTGTCATTCACGATCAGTGAACTCTGATATACTTAAGATATCTACACCTGTTTTTCAACCCAGAGAACAACACTTTCTTCATTAGCTTCAACGTTTACTTTCTTTGCCAGTTACCTATGTCATTCGAAATTTTACAACTCCACATATAATGTATCAACTCCGTAGAAGTAAACCTTGAACTTTTCGCGTTATTATGTGGTTCTTAGAATAATACACTCAGCTCGCTTACAATGCTCTATAACTCACATACAGCTAAAACAGCTATGCCTTCAGCTTCTGTAGACGGCTCAATCGTAACCATACAGCTGCCAAATCCTTGTCTCTCTCTAGTCAGAAGCAGTACGAAGTGATATAGCAAATTTCTAGGAAGAACTCATCAAGTTGTAGATAGATGAAACCAAAGGTGTAACATGGGGTAGACCCCAAATATGAGCCTTTCTCGTTTCCAGGATTGCACATGAAGTTACAAATTTGGCACGGCATTTATCTCACTTTGTAGGACTAAATAACGGCTTCACATTATGCACACAAATCGAAGACACAGATTAAGGGCTCCTGGAGGTGATGTCACTGTGTGCTCCTTTGGAACATCGGAACTTCCAAGTTCATTTTCCAAGAAGCAAAGTTTATTTCCGCACATTGCGGGGATAAATGTTGGAATCAATAACGGGGACACCAAACAGTTGGTCAGTCAGGTTTGAGACCTTTGTCTTCAACAGTAGCTTGCTTCCCAAAATGGAGAACGAAACTTTGCATTCTGCCCTTCAGCTCACACCGCAACCACAGTCGACATATCAGCGACAGAGTACGATTCCCATCTCTGAGCACAGTACAGCAATTGCATAGATTTTGCAATTCGAGCTTGCTGACCTTCAGATCTCTTCACCATTACTTTGTATATGCTAGAATTGGGCAATCTGTTCTCATATCTTGATGCTCAATTCAAGCTCTATGTACTTGCAGATGTGATCAAATTCCCATCCAGAATCACGTAACCCTGCAGGTTAATGAACTTTGCTTCCAAGAGAAGAGGAAGGAAAGAAGTCTCATTGGCGTAGATTAGCCTTTCAAAGGAGACAATGTGAGGAAGAAAAGGAAGCCCCGCCAAAAAATCTTTGCACACGTCACGACGATTCAAAGCTTTCCGTGGTGGCCGATGAATCCATGCGGGGAGTTGATAATTGAAATATCCATGACCGTAGACCACCTAGTTCGTTCATGCGTGCCCAGGGAGGCGTAAAGAAAGCATTCGATCCTCAAAGTGAAGTGAAGGCTTAGCCACTTCAACTTTGACTGCCCATTCTCGGAACCCAGCAGGGCATTTGGAAGATCCCATGTTGTGGTCTGAACGACATTATCTGAGCTGATGCTCATCAGAGGCCAAGAGCTGGTTTAAGGTTGGTGAGCTATTACGTGATTTCATCCATTGTCTGGCGTCGATCAAAACATTGCGAAGTTGCAACTTTCTAGGTTGCGAAGTTGCAACTCTCCGGAGAGCAAGCCAGGAGATGTGCATCGGGAGGTCTTTTCCCGAATTGGAGGACCTCGAAGTCAGAGGAGACGCCGGGCTGGTCATTTAGCGATCTAGTCGTCCAAGTTTAGATGATGAAGATCAGTGTGGACCGGCTGAGCCTTTTGGGAATCACGTAGTTCTCAGCGTCGGTCACTGCTGGGCTGGCTAGCTGTCTCGCAATTCCACGATGCAGGGAGATTGAGGAGTACATGGAGAATTGAGTTTTATATTTCTCTGGAGGTGGACACCATGCACTCACTCAGAAGATCTACAGGTCGGGCATCGGTCGTTTCCTCTCCTGATCGGCCCGCTCTCCGCGAACGCTTCAGGATGCTGGTGATTCTGGTGCTTTGTTGCCTCCAGCTCGGTGCTTGCGCGGTTGGTCAGGAGGATACCACCTTCGGAGAAATAAGCAGAATCGAGACTCTTGTTGAGACTCTCCAGGATCCAGATTTCGATGCACGTGCAGAATCGGCCGCGAAAGAGCATGTCAACATCAACATCGAGAGTGGACTTCCTCCTGCTTCCTCCGTCGAAGTGTATATGGGCCAGCAACAAGCACACGGCGGTCCCAGGAGCCAGCGAGAGCTGCAGCAGTTTAAAATTCAGGACCAAGCCGTCGACACTTTGTTAACGAATCGTCATGAGCCTCTCCATCGTTTTCAGGAGGAATCTGCACACTCCAGAGCAATATCTCGCACTTTGCTCCAAGACAGCTTCGGGTCAGTGACATTTAGCAGCAAGATATCATCTGATAGAGACGTGCACAATTCTGCACCTGTCGCTTGTGTCCTTCGTCCGAGCATGTGCACAGCAATGCGCATGCTCGGACGAGTGAGTGAAATTCATCTCTAACGCCATATGAGTCCAATGTGTTGCCACTGTCCCAGGGAGGCCGATGCGCTCCTGAAATTCAAGGCTGAAATCAAAAACTACACGGACAACGCTTTGGATGGATGGACAACGGGGAATCGCTCCGCCTACTGCTCGTGGACGAGGGTCATCTGCGATGATGAGTTGCATGTGATCTCCCTCAACTTCTCCAGGCTGAAGATGAACGGCACTTTGGGTCCTTCGTTGAGCAAGCTCGAATACCTCGTGGACCTCGATCTGAGCCACAATTTCCTGTTGAGCGAGCTTCCCGTGGAATGGGGTCGACTGCAGAGACTGCAGACCTTGAACGTCCACGATAATTTTCTCTTCGGTGGAGTTCCCGCAGAGTATGGCAACATGTCCAGCCTACGAGTCCTCTACATCGGAGCACAGGACGAGCTCTTCAATGGGTTCATTCCGGAGGAGCTGGGTCTGCTCTCTGAGCTCGAGGTTCTGGCCCTGGGTGCGGTTTTCAATTTCGACGCCAAGCAGGAGTACTATTCTTACCGGTCGAACAAGATGAGAGGCCCCATTCCCAAGTCCATCGCCAACTGCACTAAGCTGTGGTACTTGGATTTCTTCGGCAACTCCCATCTGACGGGTCCTATTCCCAGAGAGTATAGCCAGCTCGTCAATCTGGAGTATCTGAGCTTCGAGCAAAACAATTTCACAGGTTCCATCCCCTCCGAGCTGGGCAACCTGACAAAGATCAAGTATCTGCACTTGGGAACCAATGCCTTGGAGGGAGAGTTTCCCGTGGAGCTGGCGTCGTTGTCGGAGCTCGAGTTCTTGAACGTGAGTACCAACTTCCTGACGGGGAGTTTTCTGACAGTGGAGTCCACTTCGTGGAGTCGGCTCGAAAAACTCTTCATTGACAGGAACAACTTTCGTGGCGCCTTTCCCAGAGCTGTGACGGCCATGACGGCGCTGACGATCTTCTACATGTTCGACAACGAGTTCACCGGCGGCCTTCCCGAGAACCTGGGGCAGTTGGCCAACCTTCAAGTGTTCGATTTCCGTAGGAACCAGCTGGACGGGAAATTGCCCGACAGCCTCAACAACTGCACGCAGCTCCAAAGGCTTGAAGCAGCGAGCAACAACCTCACAGGCACGCTGGAGCCGCTGAGAAACCTCTTGCTGCTCAATTCCCTGTTCGCAGCGAACAACATGCTCACGGGCACGCTGGACCCGCTGAGAAACCTCTCGCTGCTCTTTTTTCTGGACGTACAGAATAACATGCTCACGGGCACGCTGGAGCCACTGAGAAACCTCTCGCTGCTCGAATCCCTGTGCGCAGTGAACAACAGGCTCACGGGCACGCTGGATCCGCTGAGAAACCTTTTGCTGCTCGATTTCCTGTTCGCAGCGAACAACAATCTCACGGGCACACTGAACCCGCTGAGAAACCTCTCTCTTCTCGAATACCTGTCTGTAGGGTACAATAGGTTCACAGGCACGCTGGACCCGCTGAGAAACCTCTCGCTGCTCGAATTCCTGTTCGCAGCGAACAACAATCTCACGGGCACACTGGACCCGTTGAGAAACCTCTCGCTGCTCGCTTACCTGATCGCAGCAAACAACAATCTCAATGGCACACTAGAGCCGCTGACAAACCTCTCGCTGCTCGGATCTCTGTATGCAGGGAACAACAAGTTCACGGGCACGCTGGATCCGTTGAGAAACCTCTCGCTGATCTATCTGATAGAAGCAGCGAAAAACAATCTCACAGGCACGTTGGAGCCGCTGAGAAACCTCTCGCAGCTCGCTTACCTGAACGCAGCGAACAACAGGCTTACGGGCACGTTGGAGCCGCTGAGAAATCTCTCGAAGCTCGCTTACCTGCTTGCAACGAACAACAATCTCAATGGCACGCTGGAGCCGCTGAGAGATCTCTCGATGCTCTCGAACGGCATCATGTACTTGCTCCTAAACGACAACAACTTTCGAGGCCACATTCCCGCCGAGCTCGGCAAGCTGTCGAACTTGAAGCTCCTCTTCTTGCACAATAATGGGCTGTCGGGGCCCATACCCTCGAGCTTGGCCGACCTAGAGAGCATCAACGAGATCAATCTGGGCAACAATTCTCTGACGGGAGGAATCCCTCCAGAGCTGGGGCGACTGCAGTACATGGAGTATCTCATCCTCCACAGCAACAACCTCACGGGAACCATTCCCGCGTCTCTGGCGAACTGCAGCTCCCTGAAAAACATCAGGCTGAGCAAAAACAAGCTCACGGGCACAGTCACTCAGATTGACTTCTTGCAGCTGCGATCCCTCGAGAGCTTCTCTGTCAACGGGAACCAGCTGGGCGGAGAGTTTCCCGTGAGCGTGTACAACTGCACGGAACTGAAGCTCCTGGACCTGAGCAGCAATGAATTCTCAGAGGAGCTCCCCGACCACTACGAGTACTCTCAGCCAGTGCTGCGCGAATTGCGAGTTTTGAAATTATCATCCAACAAATTCGGCGGCAGCGTGCCCGCTTGGATCTGGAAGCTTCCGGAGCTGCAAGTGCTCGACTTGTCGCACAACTCGTTCACGGGAGTGTGGCCGACCAATCTCTCGGGCTTGGAAGGCTTTACTCGACTCGAAGCGTCGCCAGACGACGTTGGGGGAGTCAACAGTGTCATCGACGACTTCGTCCCCGTACGTGCCGAGGTGGACGGGGGGAAATTGCTCGAGCAAATCTCCATTGAGGCCAAAGGTGCGCGACTCGAACTCGAGTACGTCCTCGAGACTCTATTCTCCATCGACCTGTCATACAACCAGCTCTCCGGGAGGATCCCGTACGCGCTTGGAGACCTGCGCGGGTTGACGTACTTGAAACTGACGCACAATAATTTCTCGGGCGAAATCCCTCAGGTTTTTGAAGATCTGCTGCGTCTCCAGTCGCTGGATTTGTCGGCCAACTATCTCACGGGGAAGATTCCTGCGGTGCTGAGCAGGCCCAGCTTGAGCTATCTGAATCTCTCCTACAACTTCCTCGAGGGCGAGATCCCCACGGCGAATGCTTTCTCCACGAGGTACGACATTTCGTCCTTCAAGCCCGGGAACGATCAGCTCTGCGGGGCCCCGCTCGAGACCACTTGTGCGGCGCAGGACAGCAACGCAAGCGGAAGCTCGGCCACACTCGGGGCTCCGTCGTTCGAGCTCCTTGATGGTACATTCTGGCGGGCCTTCGAGATCGGAATTCCGATCGGATTCGTGATTGTCATCGGGGTCGTGATCGGAACGCGGAGAATAATGCCCTGCACACGACACTGGTTATTGGATACTCAAGATTCCGCTCGCCATTTCAATAAAGGTACATACGGAGTTTTCAACGAACCAACATAGACTGAATCATTCAGCAATTGACTGTTGCGTACGAGACTGCTCGCTTTGCACCCGGCTGGACCCCGGGGTCCAACCGGGGCTTACGAAGATTCTGCATGAATGAGGACTCGTTGTCCGCCATACACATGTGCTACTGCTGCTAGGCCTGTAGATAGCAAAGCGTTGTCTGCACTGAGTTGTTCCAATTGGATTGTGTAAAGATTCCACGACGATTCATGATTGCAAGATTATTCCTCTTGGAGGCTTTTGTCTCCAGATTGAAGAGACTTCATTGTAATTACTTGATGGAATTGTTGGAGACTCTAATTAGTTGACGAGACCCACCACGTTTCATTTTATGATAGGACCAGATTTGATGGAAATGCATGTCGCTCCTCCCTGAAGAACTCAGGAATCCTTTCCTCTCGACGGGGTCCACTTCCAGCGACGAGACTTCCACACTTTCGCTTTATCAGACTGGGAAACGATTCTTGGATCTAATCGCTGAACGTAACCTGGCCTCTTTCCAGATGCGCTCAGACTTCCAGAAAGTGTCGGCTACCTATCAGACTGCAACTGGAGCCGAGAAAGACAGTCCACAGTAGGCTGATCAAGCTGAAAGACAGTCCACAGGATGGCGAGGGGCAAAGCTCTTATTCATTGTGAACTTGTGCTTGAACCTGGATCAGAATCCTCAGAGGATGAACCTACAAATGAGGTTGACCCCGAAGAATAAGATGGTCTTGATGAACCCATTTCCAAGATGTCATCAAGTAATCATCGCATTGCATAAATGTTGGTCAAACAAAAGAGATTAATGAGAATGAAACCTTTGAGTTGAAATTTGAAGAGATTTATTGGCTAAACATAGATATTGACTTCAAAATGGCTTCAGGATCATCAAAGAGTGGGCATTAAAACTTACTGGTGAATTTCACTCGAACGTGGAGAGTCGGCAAGGTGGACAGCCCATAATAACTTATGAGCTCTACTTTGGATCTCACAGGAGGGAAAACAGGCTTGCTGGAGCCTCTAGCTTCATTAAAAAGCTAATGGGCTTTGGAGCGTGAGGGTGATAGAACTGAACCGTAGGATGGAGTCGGACAGAGCTGGAAAGATAGACACTTGGAATGATAGTTAGATGAAGATGGGTAGTAACAAAAACAGCGAGCAGGCGCTACAAAGGATCTCTCAGGCGAACCGTCCTAATCATAAAGTACCCAGATCTGGAACAAACATGAAACGTGAAGCTAGACCTGGAAGGTTTGCTATCTTCTTTCTGCATTAGCACCATGTTTACAGATCTAAAGGAAGAGGGATGTGGAGGGTTAACCCCCAACAGCCCTTGCAGCACTATGTGTAGAGGGAAAGACTATCATTACAATAGTATCAGTAAGAGTACAGAGAACTGCCTCTGTTTAATAAGAAAATTGATTTATGCTCTTCATGTCACTATTTTCTTCTTTCATCAACGTCGATTTGTATGCTTCGCCACTTTTGGTTGCACTCCATTGATCTTTTGCGTATTCCTTCATCAGAATGATGCAGCAATAATTGTGACACTGTTGTTTCTTAATAATCGGAACGGCTTGCAGAGCATCTCATTGGGCCTTGCACAGCCGTCTTCAGGACAGACTTCCTGTGCATCCTGCGTCATGTCCCAACTCCGGGCTCTGTTAGCTCTATGGTTCTCCGCCTTATCTACACGTCACTTCCCTAGATCCTACATAAAACATACATGCAAGCCTCGAAGATACGACATATCCACGGATATTGCTGATTAAATCGTGGCACCGTTGATTAAAGATGTGAGCATACTAATTATCTAATGGGTGGATGAGTTCAGGGTGCATCCCTCTGATGATGACGGACAACTGGCACAGAGATTAAGGAGGACATATCACGATTATCTAAGGTTCTCGGGAGACTCCTGCTGAATTCTTGAGCGACAAAAGTCAACTACAAGCACTTTTTAGCATGGTACACGAGTCTTGGCCACTGAAGATGATACTAGTGCTTGGATTTGGATTTGGATATGATAAAAATCTTTCTCTTTTGAAGTGCCATCCATGCAAGTGCAGAATCTGATTAAAGCATGACATTTGCACACTTGAGGATTATCGTCATCATCGTCCTGAACTTGGATTGCAGACGTTGTCATCCACAATCAGTGAACTCTGATATACTTAAGATATCTACACCTGTTTTTCAATCCAGAGAACAACACTTTCTTCATTAGCTTCAGCGTTTACTTTCTTTGCCGTTTATTGTGGTAACCCACTTTTTGTTTTTGTGCGGAATTTAAAACGTTTTTTGAAAACAGTACCGCAGGAGCCGTGTAAATGGTAATCGGTACATTTAAATAGAGTGAAGATGGATAATCGCGGGTCTCGTATGATCTCGTAGAATCCAGGAGTTGGGCGCAATGTCCGGAACAGGCACCCCGACCTGAACGATCAATTCTGAAGGAGATTTCCTTCGACGCAAGGCGCATAATCCGCCTTTGGCGATACGCCTTCGGCGCTCAGAATTTATTCAATTCACAACGCCTTGACTTGGTTAGGATCTCGTTAAAAAGGGCTTGACACGTTCGTTCTAATGAGCCCAAGAACGCTAGGAACGGATGAGGACTCAAGGAGTTATGATTATCGGAAGATACGTAGACGGACGCCTTCAGCGGAAGGAGTTCGCCTTGCCAATCCGAGTTCCTTGTGCTAGCAAAAACTAGTGGAAGGGTTGTAAAAGCCGGAGTTGGGAGTCACTACCCGCAGATTCGTTGAGTGTATTCGCGAGAGACTTCCCCCCTGAAATCTTAAGTAGAGGTCCTAAGTGACCTCTGAGGTGTGTTTCTATAGTTTCAGGTGTGTGTGTGTGTGTGTTGAGTGAACTACGCTGCACTGTGTGACCTCCGAGTGAACACTTGTAGTATTTCTGGGAGTGACAGTCGCCTGAGAATTCAAACTCTTCAATAGTCTGTTAAATGTGACACTTTGTACTTTGTGTGTTGCCTCTGTCCCTTTGGGTTCGACCTTTCTACCACTATATTGCAGTTTTAGCCTTTGGTGGGTTATTAGACAAATAGCGAGGTAATGCGATCTGTGGAGTTAGGGGTACCTTCGGAGGCGTCAATTGAAGATCCGGCAGATACACCGGTAGAACCTTTGAACGAGGGAACGGAATTGGTAAGTCTGACTTCTTTGTCTTCGGAGCGGACACAGTCTGCGCAAGGCGAAGGGACACCCCAGATGAAGATGAACGAGGACTTGGAGAAGAAGTTTACTGTGAGCGAGGAGATTCTGGAACAGGTTGTCGCAAGGGTAGGAGGAACGGTGGTGGAAGCCGAGGGCACTACACTGCCAACGTCTCCTGTGGAAGAGGTGAGACCCGAAGAAGGACAGAAGACTTCGGGCGAAGAAGTGAAGACATTGGAAGTTACATTTCCTGAATTCTTGCAGGATAGTGTGATACCATTGTTGAAGTACTTGGACGGGAAGAGAAAGAAGTATGCTGTATCGAAGGAGCCGGGATTCTATGTTCAGATGATCAGGAACAGAACGAAGCTCAAGAGAGCAATTGGAGTAAAGAGGGAGTGGGATTTCGTGACTGCATTGGCACGGGAGCGAGCTGCAACCTTGTTAGCCGAGTGCGTAGTAGTGAAGGCGACATTGCGAGAGCGAGAAGCCCAGCTTCGGGAGAAGGAAACCGAGTGTGAAGTGCTACAGCTAAATCTAGAGAAGGAATCGGGACGTTGTGCAGAATTGGAAGAGACTTGCGGAGGATTTCGTACTGTAAGACCGGGTGTTGCACATATGTACTAAGTTTCAGAAGTGGTCAAGTGATTAAGGATGATTAGCCAAAGTATAGCTAAGTCTAGCTAGTTATGACTAAACTAGTCAGTTATAACTAAATTTATCTAGTTATGACTAAGTTTGGCTACAATGTCTATAGTTGACGGATTAAGTAGCGGAGTTCTAGAAGAGTGGAGTGAGCACTTTTATTTTGTCTTTTACAAGGAGTGAGCAATTCTATTTTGTCTTATAAAAAAGTTGTAGATTCCAAGGGATTAGATATTTGACTTAAAGCTTGGATTTGATTGGTTAAACTAAAATGTATGAAAGATGATTGGCTAGACTAAGTCTAGTGTTGACTTAGTGGCTAAGAAGCTTGTAGAAGTTTAAAAGTTTCCAATCGCATGTCGCCACCTCAACCTTGGATTCCGGAAACTTCTAGAAGGTTTAGCTAGGCCAATAACATGTTGCCACATAGAAAGGGTTAGTCAAACTTACCTAGGTAAAAGTAAGTTAGGAGAAATTACCACATGTTACTATGGTAACTCCTCAGGTAGTATAAATAGAGAGGTAGAGTAGCACCTCTCAAGCAAGTTTGGAGAGTCCGTCCATCGACCAAACGCATTCACCCAGACAAGATCGTAAAAGATCCTTGCCCAATGTACGCGTTGTCCCTTCAAAATGCGTTCGAAGAATCCCACCTGCCAGGCCGTCACATAAGTCGTGCGCGCCGGCCGTAAGATGTGCATGATCTCTAACGCAATCGCTTTTCTCTTCGGATCCTTATAATCGACAGTCTTCCATCCATTCGTTACCTATCTTTCAGTCTCGAAGAGAGGTCCGTAAGAGAATTCCTCGACGCGCGTAAGTCCTACGCTATTCTTGTCAAACAGAAGGTCTCCGTCGTTTCCCGCACACGGTCCCATTACTCTCGTCCAATGCTCGATATTCCACAACATGGGATTACCACGGAGCTCCTCGCCTTCGGTCGCGCTCTTGTCCATAACCTCCTTCTAGATACTCGCTGAGACGCAATTCCAATTCCACAGAAGGAATTTTAGCCTCAGTTCCCTCAACTCGTGTCTGAAGGATCTCAATTCCTCATACGGCACCTTCAAGGGAACCAATTTCCTCATCTTCTCACTCTTCTTGGGCGCCATGTATTCAATTTGCGTTTCGCTAATCGCGGGTTGGCTCGATTGCAATTCCTCTCCCTCTCAATCGTTCTTGCTCGATATCGGAATGTCGGCGCGTAGTTTCCTCCTATTGCCTTTACCCTTGAAGCCCTAACATTGCCTTCTCCTGCGCCTCTGTAATAACCCACCAAAGGCTAAAACTGCAGTATGGTGGTAAAAAGATCGAACCCACAGGGACAAAGGCAACACACAGAGTACAAAGTGTCACGTTTAACAGACTTTTGGAGAGTTTGAATTCTCAGGCGACTGTCACTCCCAGAAATACTGCAGTGCTCGACTCGGAGGCCACTCGGAGGATGCTCGACTCGGAGGTCACTCGGAGGATGCTCGACTCGGAGGATGCTCGGAGGAT